CCCACACCCACACCCACACCCACACCCACGCCCACACCCCACACTCACACCCACACCCACACTCACACCCACACCCACTCCCACTCCCACTCCCACTCCCACTCCCACTCCCACACCCACACCCTAAAGATAATATTAATTTAATGCTTGGCCATTTACTAATTGAGATGAATAAATACAGAAAAGCTGAATCATATTTTCAAATGATGCTACAAGTTTTACCGAAATCACATAAAGATTTTCCTTTAGTATGCGATTATAAGGGTCATTTGAATATGAGAAAAACCAACTGGAATGAAGCCTATACGAATTTTAACGCAGCATATGAAATAAGAAAGAAGGTTTTACCTTTGAATCATTCACTTATTGGTGTAACATTAAATAATATCGGTGATTATTATAAAGTCATTGAAAATTATGATGAAGCACTTAAATATTATGAAAAAGCTTTAGAATGCAAAAACGATTCAACTAGCATAGCAAAAATTCAACTTAATATGAGTACAATCTATGTAATATACAAAGATTATGATAAAGCGCTCAATTTATGCATTGAAGCACGTGATTATCTTCAACAATTACATATATATCCGTATAACGATATTGTTCGTTGTCATGAAATTGTTGGCGATATTCATTTGATTCAAAAGAAGTATAGTATTGCCGATCATTATTATTTTACTGTATTTGAAATGAATAAAAATGCTCTTTTGAGTGATAATATACTTCGAATCCATTGTATAAACTCTTTAGTTGATTTATATAATAAGCAAGGTCTGAAACAAATAGCTATTGATTTTTGTCAAGATAAACTATCGGCCTATGAAAAGGATTTATCTGAGAAGCACATCAATATTGCACATTTTTTGATGAAACTCCTTGAATTATGTGAAGAGAATGATGATCAAAAGATAAATTTATTGTTAAGAGCATTGCGTATTTTTGAGAAACATGTTCATTTTGAATATGCTTCAACAGCTAATTGTTTAATGGCGATTGCTGAATATCATCAAAAGCAAAATGCGTATGAAGAAGCCATCAAATACCGTTAGAGAGCTCTTGAAATAAGAGAGAAAATGTATCCGAAATATCACCCATTAATACTTCATACAATATCTCTAATAGAAGCTTGTAAAGACTCGACATGATTTAAATCTCATTTTTTTGAGTTACCTGCTTCACTAACAGAGACAACTATTTATTGGTAATTATAAATTCATGAATGACTTAAGTGGTTGCATCTATAGTGTTTTTTTCAATTGTCTCTTATCTCATATATTCCTAATCAATTACAATTTCTTTCCATTCTCTCACTGTTATCTATCTTCTATTTATTTCATTAATAAATCATATAATATTATATATTTTCTATCAGAAGCGCGAGGTGTGATTGTTTTTGCCAAAGGTACTTACACTCACACTCCCCCTAGTTCTAGGTCCTTTTTGTGGCTTAATCGCTGAGACAAACTATCGTCGTAACATTCGAATAGACTGCTAACTCTTCTTACATTTTCGATTACGTTTTATTCTCTGTATTGAACCTTTTACAACATTCTGCCAGTATATTTCAAGAAACTTTTCACGGTGATGAACTATCAGTTGAAAAATTTATTCAAGATAACAGTTTTTCGATATTTGAACAAAAATCTGCAATGCTTTGGTGCGAAGAATAAATTGTTTTAGAGGATAATCGTCTTTACAATACAACGACCTTTATGATTGTAAAAATGAGAACCATTCGGTACTAATGCACGATTTATATCATTTAAAAGATCACATTGTTATTGTTGATATTATCATTAAATATATATATAAATAATTTATCCCTAATATTGATGATCTTCTTAAAGATCAAGTTTTTATATGGTAGTGAAGTAATGATACAATGAATTGAATTACTTGACAACATTTTTAATCCTTTTAGACAATCGATGATCACATATGTATTGATAAGATTATGATCAAATGTAAAATTTGATTTAAAATAAATTACAATTTTTAATTTGAAAACTAGTACATTGATAGATGATATGACGAGAGAGTGTGGGTGTGGGTGCGAGTGCAGTTCTTCTGATTATCCATACTCATACCCACACCTACACACTCACACTCCACATCCTGATCAATTTTCTTTGCTTGTGCGTCAACTCAAAAGTTAGGATTACATAGTCAAGACGTTTAAAACGTCTGCAATTGCTGTGAGACGTTTTACGGCTAACGATAGCAATTTCTAGGGTTTCTCAAATAGGTTTCAGATCATGGCGCTTTTCCTTCATCTATCAGTGCGTTTGTCTGAATTGGAAGTGTTATTATCCAGCAACTTTTGCCTAAAGTTCGTACAACTTGACCTATATCACGTGAACTGCAGTATTAGACTGGTGCGCAAATGGTCATTGAACTGTCCGCAGCTCAGTGGATTCACAAGATCCATACTTGGAACTCAGGTCAGCTCAGTTGTAAGTGAACGTATTTTCAGCGCAAGCGGGAGAATTTTGGACGAAAGAAGACAGAACTGAAGCAATGACATGGTTGATGATAGTTTATTTCTGCGAAACTTTCGAAACATTTCATTATCGTTTAAAATCAATAAAGTCTTTTGAAAAATAAGTTACTAAAGAGAAATACATATTTCATGGCTAGCAAAATCAGTAAATCGTAGAGTAGGGTAGGACTCCGGTTGAAAGTCCATAGAGTAAGTAGGGTATGGCTAGGGTAGGAAGGCTTATAATAGGATGTAGGGTACGAAAAGGTTTTACCCTACAGAACTTTGCTCAAAAACCAAAGGAAAAGTGATCGATTGTATCTGGGCCATCCATTAGCCAATTCTTTTTCTAATCGTCAAAATCCGATTTCAGAACTGGTTTCAAAAATACCGTTCGCTTTTCACAATAAATTCATTGGCCAGTTTAGTTAAGCAAATACTTGAACAATCCATGGTAGCTCGAACTATCTCGTGCATCTCGGAATTGGGCGTACATCATCACTTCTCGTCTGGGAACTGTAAACTGTCTCTTGAAAATGTCGTCTTTGAGAATATCTTCTGAAAGCCAATTGCCATCAAGCATAAGTCGAGCGCAATGAGCACCTGGAATACGACAGTGCATCGTCACTGTCGATCCTGGCTTAAGTGTGGCATCAAGCGGTTCGAAGATGTAGCATTTGCGTTCAGTGAATAAGCCGTAAGTTATTGGAAATGTCTTCGTTCCCATGAAATCGGTCGGCACTTGAAGACCGAATTGAATTGAAGCAGAATAGCTAGTTTTGCTAGCTTCATGTTTTGCTGTTGTCGTGTTTCGCCCAGCAAATACCGTCAATGTATGCAAACCACCACGCCGTGGAGCAAAGAGACATTGCCATAGCTCCCGACCGGCATCGTATTGAACTAGGCTGCCAGCTTGGATCTTTTCAGATTCATTTTGTTCAATGCGACTTGAAAAGACTGTATTTGATGGAGCTCGAAGAAGTACTTCTGCAAGTCCAATACTTGAGTTAAACATTGTCATGCTAGAATGCTGCGGATAGATTATATCGAGATCGACTTCAAAAAAGTTTGGATAGACAAAAGGCAAATTGAAAAAGTCATGCATTGAGACGGGAGAGACCAATAATTGCCACTTTGGATCTTCAGGAAAATGCGTATATATCATCTGCTCAGGTCGAACCAGGAAGTAAAATGTATTTAGCTCTTTTTTATTACGATTGTTATCGTCCAAATGTCCCGTGCCCCACGTTGAATCTATGAGATACCAGTGCTCCTTCAGACGGATAACATTCCATGCATGGTTCGTTTGAGAAAATGATGTTTGTCCCAGTTTAAAACTATATCCTTTAGCGTAGCCGCTAATTTTCCGACACTCAATCTGTACTTCAGTACATAGTGTTTGAAAGATTGTTCCAAAGGCATCGCAAACTCCCTTTCGATTGTTGAATACATCTTCAGAAGTTTGATGCCGAATCTTACCGCTGAAGTAAGCATCAACGTCGTACTGGATATTTTGAGAAACCCAATAGAAAACGATCCAAGCTCGATCGATCAAACTTTTGCCAGATGACAATTGAAGAATGAGCTTGACAACCTCATCAAGACTTTTTGCTGTCCAGCTGTTGACTGCCGTTCGATATGTCATATTGTCGATGGCCTCTTGACGCTGACGACAGAATTTTGCTTCAAAAGCTTTTGGATCCGCTGATGCAAGTCTTCTTGAATCGTTCGATGACTTCGGTTTAAATGGAGGTGGCTTAGATATTGCAACGGGTTTTGGTTCGTCTTTCATCGCCGGTTTCGAATCATCAAAGTTTTGATTGACTGCTGGAGAACGGTGCTTGGATGGAGTCGGCTTGAATTGAGGTGATGGTGTTCGATTGAAAGTCATTGTGAGTGTCGGAACAATCACCGGAGTAAAATCGAACGAAATAGCATTTTGATCACCATTTGAATCCGATGACAATGCAGTTAGAAGACAATCAAGCCATGCTTCAGGTGGAATATTGGCTGATTGTATCACTTTGAGAATAGTCTCGACTGGCAATAATGGTATGGTGACGACATCGACAGTCAAAAGCTTACGTAAATATCGCATGTTTTCTTCTAGTTGTGATGGTCTTGATTTTTCGAGTTGACTCGTCCAATCGACGATTGTTTGAAATAAACAAGATTTCTCTTCACAATTCCATGATACAATGGCACACAAACGTTCACATACGATGCTATACTGGTCCATTATTTGATTCAATGACGGTACGGTCAGGCTATCGTCTTTTCACAACAAGTGTTGCGTTTCTGTGTTAAGAAAGAATAAGTATAGACATTAGTCGAGTTTTATTTCATATCTATCGGATCCAAATTCTACTCTCAATTTTAATTCCAGCGAACCTATGGGTATAGTTATATGCAGAGCAATGAATAAGCAGATAATATACAAGAGAAAAACGCCAACAAATAAAGATAAGCAAGAAAGAGAACGCATCAGAAGGCAACAATGTCATTAAAAGGTCTTTCCCCTATCATCTTTTTTATCAGTATGAATGACAGAAAACAAACGAATAGTTTTTAATATCAAAACATGTGCTTGTTAGGCAAGTACTTACACTGAGAAAGATCAAGCCTCTCGATCTCATGCTACATACAGCTGAATCGGACTATGTAACTGACACAGAGGTCATTTACCGTGAACAACCTGAATTGGTTTGACCTGTCGACATTCAATAACCTCTCAAAGGACACCGCCGGATAAGATAGGAAATCTGCCCCTCCCCCCTTCTGTTCAATCCAAATGTATATCAGAAATCCCATACGTTTTTAGATACTTCCATGCATTTATTTCCGACTTTGGCTAAAGCCGTAGAAAAGTTTCCTAGGTGAACTCTTGTGAGCAGTAATACCTGTTTTTTCCTCGCACAGCCGTACATAGTGTCTTTTCCGTTTTTACATCTATCGGTTCTTTCTCAGTTTGTACAGTAGGAGTACACACGCCATGTTTTGCTCTACAAGACGTATAATGATGATCGATATTCAACATGTTTCTTTTGGAGTAACATAGAATTCCAAACCCTCATCAGTACTTTTTTTACATTAATTACTCACACATGGTTTCAGTGCAATAACTGGTTCTCCCATATGCTTCAAATGACAAGACTGAAACTTTCTCAGAAATAGCAATCTGAATTCCTTTACAGAATGCGCTAATTTCTATCCGAAAAAATTGGGATCCAAAGTCCTCGGCTCAGAGACATTCTCAAGCGAGAGCACGGTAACAGTGCTTGTACAGTGGTTTTGGCCAACGCTTGTGATAGAACTTACTTCAAAATAAATCTTTAATGCAAGATTCATGCTCAGCGTTAAAAACTGATCTCGATAGATGGTATCTTTCATGCGCATACAGCACTATATGTGTAACTTCGCGTCATACTCCATGTTTCCTCATATCCCAGTTAGTTAAGGAAACGCTGTTCTACCGTTAAAACGATGTTTAATGTCACATCGTTTAAACGATGATATATTGACCAAATTACGCGTTTATCACAAAAAACGATTTTGTATGTCATAAAGTAATATTATGTTCTTGTCGTTTAAACTTCGAATTCTAAATGTCATAAATAATGATTCATTGACGTTAAAAGCATAATTTTTTATTATTTCATCTGTCGTAAACGATTCTTTACTTGAAAAAAAGGTTTAATATTTTTAATATTCAAGAATCATCTTCGTCTTACTTGTAACTTGACCATTCATCTAATTTGATTAATTTGATGATGGACAATACACGTTCGTTCTTTTTCTCAATATCTCAATACATTCCAATGAGTAGGTCTCATTTTGTTTTCGAAAAACCATAAGTTAAATCTTTAACAAGTTAAAATATTTATTTAAAGAAATGAAAGTTCGGTATCTATATAACATAAGACATGAGTACAAGTCTTTTCTACAAACTTTTCTTTTTGTTTTGATATTTGTTCAAAAGACTTCTACTCATACCTTATGTTTTAAAGATGCATGAACTTTCATTTCTTTAAATAAATATTTTAACTTGCTGAAAATTTGACTTCTGCTTTTTCGAAAACAAAATGAGACCTACTCATTAGAATGCGTTTAGATATTACAAAAACCTGACTACACTCTTTCTTCTGACACATCGATCGTTTTTTAAAATTTTTTTTCTATACTCTTCGTAGGTAATTAGAAATTTGTCGATCGCTCAAGGATGATGCGTTTGTCTTACATTTGATAAATATTCTATCGAAATCTTCTCAAGTTTTCGTTATGAATTCTCAAGTCTAGTTTATTTTAGTACCTATGGGGAAATATATAATTAGTTACAAAGTTGTGATTTATGATAATCTCGATGAATAATGAAAGAAGAATCTAAATTAGTTTATTAGTATCAGATATGTATGTGATAATGAAACTTAGATTTTTTAAGAAGAATTAATGCATTGATACGACAAACGAAAAATTCTAGGGGAAAAATACCATAGATAAAACGATGTCAATTTTTTGGTATATTTTATCAAAAGTAAATATTGAACAGCAACACTATTGACGTACTTCTAAAATTTATTCATTGTTGAGACTATTTTTTTCTCATTCTTTAACAGTCGTCTGTCGTAGATAAAAAATAATTTATTGCTACAAAAGTTAATAGAGCAGCTAAGTTTTTCTTTTGATTACTGTAATCTTTATGACTTACGCATATTTATCATCTAGTTGTTCTTTTAAGATTTATACTGAAAACGGAATATATACTCAGCATTATATTCTTTTTATGGTATAAGAGTTTCAATCGACGACTAACTCAGTAAAATAACAAGCTCTAAAATGAAATCATTAATGAAACTAAGCTATTTAACATTTTTTTCAACTGATTTATTAAGATCAATCAGTGTGACGTTTCGTTCTAACTAAGAACATTATCAAACACAAATAAATAGACAGAAGAAGAATATATATAAGAGTAAAATAATATCTTCCTTTTTCTATTCTATTGTTTTAAACATTCTAATGCAGACGGATCAATTTTACTCCCCCCGTGCATTGATATGCTTAAAACAATAGAACAAAAAAACTAAGACATTATTTTACTCTTATATATGTTCTTCTTCTGTCTATTTATTTGTGTTTGATAATGTTCTTAGTTAGAAGGAAACGTCACCCTGATTGATCTTAAGAAATCAGTTGAAAAAAATGTTAAATAGCTTAGTTTCACTAATGATCTTATTATGGAATGTGGTGCTACCAAATGACAAATAAGTTCTATATTATATATTTTTTCTACGAATCTCGTATTTTGTTAACTATCTCGATGGAATGTACAAGACAGTTTTCCACAAATACTATCCTAAGAAAAAGCAAAAATAAACGCAGAACATAAGGTGAAACTAAATCCTCTACATCGCTCAATACTGAAAACTTCTTCTATTACAGTTATCTGAATCTTTTTGCTCACGTTTTCTAAGCTCGATCAACTGTTAACGAGAATCCTTATTCACGATTCGTGTACAGTAAATATGTGAATTTATTCGTAAGCTGAATAGTATTTTTGATTAAATTCCGATATCATTCATGTATCTAATCTTTGTGTGCATTCACATTGCTTGCAGAATTGATGTTTACTTATTGAGCAATCTTGATCGAATGAATGAATGAATCTGCTGGGCGAATTTATTTTCTCTTTTGTTCTTCTCTAACTTTACTCTTTTTTCCTTTCTCTTCTCTGAATTTTTTCTTTTACTTCTTGACTTAAATTTTTCGTTTCTTCCCTTTGCTTTCCTATCTGTCCAATTTGATTAAGACTAACAATCAATCACTAAGGATATGAGATCCGTTCTGTTTATCCCACATACATTTGTCGAATATATATTAACTGACAATATTACTCTCTTTTGACTTGACTAGAGTTTCTAATTGGATTATGTAGCTCATAATTAATAATGTTGTATTGCTTGTCATAAAACGAGTTTCAATTAGCTCATATACTGATGAGTTGATAATTTGTGATGAAAACTCTAATGCAGCAATTTTATGTTTGAGAATATTAGGAACTTATAATTTATCGTAGGTTTCGAGCTTTGAACATAATCAAAAAATTAGGATTTCAATGTGAAAATTGAGTCTTTAAATCAATGAAATCAGCCTGTATTTTTTCGATATTCTAAAGTCCGCACCAACACATGATTATGATTCATATGATGTCAATGCTATGCGAATTCTTACTGTAATCAAAGGAACACTTTTTCACATAAATAAATCTACAGCGAATACTTTTTTGAATTAATTCAGCAGATCAAAAGATAAATGGAAGCTCCAAACGGACTAAATGTCTTTCACGCGTACTGTGAAACAATAAAAAACATAAATTCACGAGAATATAAATAATTATGGGAACCAGTCCCAAAAAAAGATTAATCTACTTTGAGCATTTACAGCTGTTTTCGTTGGAAAAGATGATCATAAACATTTCTCACTATCTTTTACGAAGAAGAAAATGACTTATATAACCGTTTCAGAGACTATTTAATGTGAATAACGCTTGGAAACGCTGACTAGATGTAAAAACGGCAAGAAAAGTGATGATCACGTTTTTTCTTGCTGTTTATCACGGTTTCCTAACAGAACGGGTGATTATGACAGTTTAAACGGCATTTTCAGCGTTTCACTTCTTCCTGGGCACACCCACACCCACACCCAGCCACACCCTCTGCAAATTTGTGAGCATTGATGAGCGACTTTTCCTCTAGGGCAAAAAAGAACTCCTTAATTTCTTAGAGTCTGGTGAAATATGTAATAGAGTAGACTCTACTTACATGAGATTTGTATACCAGTTTCAAAGATGTAAATGTGACATTCGTTCACACACCGGAAAAGATGAAGAATCTTGTTAAGTATAACATAAGACTCTGTATGCTTTTTTGTATGTTTGCTTGCACACGTTTAATCATCATTCTGAAGATATTATTTCTTCATTATAGTATCTATTTTAGTATGGTTTAATCAAGAAGCTGCGTTCTTATTAGAACTGATGACTAGTGTAATTTGGTAGCACTATCAAAGATAAAGAATATAATGTATACAATTGTTTGAGTT